TGGAAGGAATGAATGCTTCCATGGCGTAATATTTAGCACTATGGATTTGCAATCCACCGGTTTAATTACTCGTTTAGGTCACTTATCCAGGAAAGTAACGCTGAGTCGTAGAACTTTTTTTCTTTCTCCCGGAGGGTCTTGCGGTTGCGTTTTTATTTCTAGAAGTTTTTTCGCCAATTAATGGCGAGCATTTATACGCCTGGGAGAAAACCGGAGCACCCAGAGAAGAGCAAGGCGTGCAAAGGGGCAACGCTCGATCCCCCGTACACATGGAAACGAGATGGCTGTTAATGCACTTGCTGCACTGCCTCCTCCTGGCGAGCCCAGGGTATGGCACCTGCTCGACACCCGCGGGAAGGGAGTTTCACAACATCTGCGCGGCGATCCACCAACCCTTACTGCCCTCCACAGCGCTGGTTTAGAGGCTGCCGTGTGCCGAGCCACCATCGGCGTCCCGAAACAGGAGCGCACACCAAAGTCGATCGGCGAAGAGGTGGCCAAATACCCCTTTTGAGGGGCTCTGTGAATCTTCCCGGAGTAGAGGCCCCTCCGCCAGCAGTGGTGTGAGCGAACAAAGGGAGGGGGGGGGGGCCCGCACCTCTATGTTTTAACGATTAATATTTTGCAAAAAGTATTTATCGTCATCTATAGTTTTCACCGCTTTATTGTTTCCCTTTGTGCAATGGATCTCCACTTCCGCCCCAGTTTGTTTGCACTTTTACACGCGACGTACTGTAAAACGAATGCATAATTCTGCAGTGCAAGCATATGATAGTGTCGTACATAAGTGAGCACGGAATCCATTTGGCAGCTGTAAAGTAAATAGACTGCAACGGCAGAGTGCCATATTAAATATTGAAGGAAATAAATCAGTAAGAAATAAATAACCGTCATAAACGGTTTAATTTTTCTCCTTTTCCATTTATTTGAAAAGCATTTTTCTTTAAACATTTTGCATAAACCTGGTATTACACGCGGGTGGTGTAATGGCAACAGACATTAGAATGCAGTAGCTTCGCTGTCATCATGATGATGTAAAGATATTGCAACCTTTATAGCCATTACCAAGCGTGCTGTAGTTAGGAATGGATCTCATGTCAGGTATAGACCTAACGTTGGGTAGAACATTCGGTCGATATTTATTGTCGAGTACAGATCGAGCATCAGATATAGATCTCACGTCATATGTATAGGTCTTGCGTCAGATACACATTGCATTACAATTGACCACCTTCATTCATTCTAAAACTGGACGAAAGCCTCCCAATGTTTTGTCGGTGATGGGGGTTAATTGACCATACTTCATCATGCTGGATGACGCATGTTGGTGAAGGTTGCATCCAGGGCCGGTTTAGACATGCACACAATTATCGTAGTGCACAATTTTCTGAAACGTGTACACGATCATACGTCTAATTTGGAAGGTGTAAGTAACTATTTCCTAGGTATCTTTTGTAAACTATATTACCGAGGAATCTCAATTGGCCCTGCTTTTTAGTTTTTAAACCACATCACTACCTTGAATTTAATTGGGAGGATACTTCAAGAGTTGTCCTTTAAAAGTTGGTGTGAAAATAATTTTCCTTGATTCCTGTGGGCGGCACTTTTGCGGAGGTGAACAGAGACATCTGACTGCAATGAAAGATTTGGGGCACGACTCACCATAAACGATGAGAATGAGCCTCTTCTGCCGGCTATCCCCATGCTTACCCAGATCTCTACACACACTTGCCTGAACACAGCACGGCGTGTAAATGCCCTTCATAGCGTGAGCAGTGTTCAAACCGTGCAATGTAAGGATGGAGGTTAATGTTCAATTTCAGGATTCAAGTTAATGGTTCTAATGGCAAGTCACACCAAATAAATGTCATTGATAAGAGCTAAATTTTTTTGACTTGGCATTTTGCTGGTCGAATTGACTTTGCACGTGACTGCAACCGTGACCCTTCTGTATCCTTAATCCCATGAAAGCAAGCCTACTCTAAACAGTTCAACAGAGGTCAACTTGTATGTATGTTGAAATTATTTCGCATCATACGTAGCCAACCGTGCTAAGCGGAGGTGCGGGGGAAGGACAACAATTTAACCGGAAAAAAGCAGTTCTAAAGAAATGAATGTACAATCTAGATGTTTTAAAAGTGCATAGCTCCAGTGGCTTCCTAATATCGAAGGGAAAAGCATTCCAGACTGCCGCAAAAGCGCATCTGAAAGGGCGCAATGTAGCGCCCGTCTTTGTTCGACGGCTAGCCAAAAGCTGCTGCGTGGACGACTGGAGTTCGCATGATGGTTTATACCCCCTGATTAGAATCAGCGAGGTATTGTGTGATTAATTTGTGCTGGGAGATGGAATAATAACTCTTGGCCAACTGGCTAGCAAGGCCCGGTAAGTTACCCTATTATACTGCAGGTGGACAGACGCTGCCATGTTTATTCGTTTTGGAATTTCTATACGTGCGGAAAACCAGTAACAGTTTCCACCCTTTTCCCCCCAAATTGGTTACTGGTAATACTATAAAAACTAATTTTTATTTTATTTTACCAGGTAAGGCCCATTGAGCTATATAGCTCTTTTTCAGAAGCGACCTGGCTACAAATGATAGCTCAACGAAGTTGCTCATCACGTGGAAATATATACGAGCCAAATAATCTAAACGTGTGTTTCTAAATGTGAAGAGAAAAACCGGGAGACCCAGAGAAAAAAATCCACGCAACCACAGGGAGAACATGGAGAACATGTAAACTCCAAATATACAGTCGTGATGGTCGGGTTCGAACCCACGACCTCCTGAATACCAGGTGAGGGAGTTGACACCTCGCCACCGTTACACCCCCTGTTCAAAAACGAATGTAACAACTCTGCAATTGATGCCAATATGGCACTTGAGGAGAATGCCACCTCTCCAGGCTAGATTCCATTTTCATATTTCCTCACTCGAAGCTTTTCGATTGCCTTTCTATGTCTGCCTCTGTTCGAATATTTTTTTTTTACAAAAGACACTATCGCTCATTACAACGTAGACCGTTAATGTGTTGTGTGGTAACTCACTCCGCGTTTTCTCTCTAAAGAGGGGCCAATTAAATTCGCCCATGGCTCCCGTAGGCTCCACGTGTACAATTAATGCAGGGCATGTTAATTGCTTTTCCACCAACCAGCCAGGAAAATTAATTGTAGTCCTTTTAATGACCGTCTAGATGGGTGGAAAAACACAATCACTTCTCAAGTGCCGAGAAGGAGAGTTTGCAGGTCAAACAGTTAAATGGCGCTGTAATATATAGTCTGAGCAGCAACGGTGCTGAAAGCATTTTAGCTGCGTCGTATATGTCACGGTAATCGCTGTAACGTGCACATCAGTACTCCATTGGTGGGGCAGGTGAGAGAGGTCAAGTGATGGACCATTGCAGAGCAGGTCAATTCACTGGTTTCTGAATTTGCAACAATCTCTTTTCAATCGTTATAGCTAGTCCGTTGCAATAGGTGTCGAAAATGTTAATTCTGTTTACACCATGAAATGCCTTTATTCGCACTGTTTACTGCATGTATCACAAAGGAGGCTCACAACTATAATTACATTCTTTCCACAATTATTTCCTGCTAAATGAACATATATTAATTGTATTATTATTATTATTCATGGGCTTTTTGTGAATGGGCTTTCTGTGAAGAGTCCAGGTGGAAAATGTGGGCTAATGGTCACGTTGGAGCACTGAGCCGGTCCCACTGAGATGCCTGGGTGTGAATGTGAGTGGCCGTCTGTGTGTGATCAAGCCAGGTTGTCGGGTGCTGCATATATAATGGATTCAGCCTGGTCACCTATGGCTAACAAAAAATAATTGGACGTATAATTTGCCACCCAACTTGGCATGCCTTGCAAAGGACAATACTGGACAATTTATCCAGTATTCCTATCGTCCACGGAGCATGTGGATTCGCGGTAACTATTATCCGTGACCCTATGCTTCCAATTATCCGCGATTATCCCCCCCCAGAAATAAATGAGGTAAAATTGCAGATGGCCCCGCGGGGGAAAATAGCATCCGTGTAATTTCACCCACCGCGGATAAGAGGAGAGTCTTCTTGCATTTCGAGGTGCGTCGAATCAGATTCTTGACGTGCGGAACGCCACGTTCACGGGCGTTGTGCCGTCGAGCGGAGGTTTTCGCGATTAGCTTCCCCTTCGCAATTCGGTCGGTGTCGGGGTTTCAGATCGCAGCTCGATTCAAGAGCGACGATGGTTTTTTTTCTTCTCCTTTTCACAGCGAGGTTAATGTAGCGGCCTGTGGTTGCAGCAGGGTCGCGTGAAACCTTTACGCACAAATTGCACGAAAATTGATAGGCGTCGATTTTTACAAACGCGGTTCAATGCACTTATCGTAAGCTGTAAGAATCTCTATTAAGACTCAATACAAGTTATTTGATCAATTCCTGTTATTCATTTCCATTGATGTTGTTGTAACGACTTTCGTGAGCAAATCTCAGATATGTTAATCGATTGTCCATTAATTTGTGTGCCTTTATTTATGTAATCCATTGTCTGGAGAAAATGTTCTAATATCACCGCCATGGATTTTGATGAGATTTAATCTCCTTTCCTGACTACTCTCACTCCAAGTGACAGTTTCAATTTACACCTCGTTCACATCGGTTCAATCCCTATCCCAGGTGCATAATAACATCGGTGGTAGTTGGTATCAGAACCTCTCGCATGTGATATTGAGAGCGGCCGATTGGATTAATCACACGCGTTGGTGGTTTTGTATATTTGTGGACCCTGACTCCATTTGTTGCTCTGATTCCACGACGGGTTTTCTCCACACCTGGCCGTCATTCTTGTTGCATAATTCAGGTAAAAGATAATTTAACACCTCACAGAGACACAGAATGAAAAATGCCCTTTTGTGTTAGAGCAATCTATGCTATTGTTCATGTTGTTTTATCGTATGGGATTGTATTGGATTGGCTGTTGAACATTTTCACCAGCGTGTATGTTTTTCATTTTCAGCTGGCAATATTCAGCAATGCACCCAGTACAAAAACCTTCAGGAGGTCCGCACAAGTAAGTTTTGCCTCAGCAGGAATGTTTTTGTATGTTTGTGTGTTTTAGATTGATAAATTAGGATGGTTTTGCTGTGGGTTTAGGCATTCTTAAGCTTTGAAGAATTTTTTTTTATTCACAGGTAAAAAAAAAACATGTGCTTAGCCAAATAAAACAATGCGCAGAGCATATTTAAAGGAGTTTGATTAAACTGTCACGACTAGAAAATACATGGCTCCATTTGGTATAATATGAGCATGAAAAATTCATTGTCATCGGCCATGGTCAATCCATTGCAGGACGAAAGGCTTCCCAAGCTGCTGCCATCTCTAATGATCCTGGACATCAGCTGATTTCATCACTCCATCTCCCTCTGTGCATATCCTCTTGTACACACTGAATCCTCTGTCTGTCACTCCTTCTCAGTCTCCTTGGTGGACATCCTCTCACGCATATTCAATCCTGTTACTGCCACTCCATCATCCCCGCACCTCCGATTAGCACAGTTGGCCACGTTTGATCTAAAGTTAACGTTCCTTCAAACAAATGCACAATTATTTATTTATCAAAAGTTACGGAATAAAAATGTCATAATTGAGCAAGAATTTCTGCTTTTAAATTGGCAATTTCTTTTGCTTATAAAAAAAAACCCAGAGAGAAATTGATTCTTGTAATTTTTCTTTATTTTTTTTCAACATGGATTAGAAACCATACAGCGGTTATTGAGAAAAATTACAAGTGTAAATAAAAGTGGGCATGGACAGGAGGTGTCAAGAGAAGGGATGAAGGCCGATGCTCAAGGGTAATAATTGCCAGTGGCAGCCCAGGAACGGAACGCGATGAAATCAGGACTTGTGCATCGGTCGTCATATCGCAAGGCCGCAGGCCGTAGCTGATGGCGGCGGTGGTGGCGGTCCCAGGGAGGCTTTCAGCCAGCAGTGGATTGACCTTGATGGTGGTGAACAAACCTTGTTCATTATTGTTTTTTGTATGTAATACACCAAGACCTTAGAGAGTGAATATTCAAAAACAATTGGCGATTGCAGTTTGAGACTTGATTTGACCTCAACTTTTACTCATATATCATTATTTGTCAAATTCTGATCATCTACAAAATGAACAATCCTTTCAGTATTTATTGCAAGTATTTCATTTTTCCATATGCATGATTTTGTATATTTTTCACAATTACTCATGAATCGGAGATCAATGTACATTCGGCAGCATGCAGCTTGTAAACATTATTAGGTACCTTGTTTAAAAATTAATCTGTGCTGCTATGTGTCCATTAACTTGACGTTTTTCATTGTCACCCAATTGTACTGTCTATGCATTGTTTGTAGGAATGTTCTGTGATGCTCTGGGTGAGGTTATATTTACAAATGTGGGTGCCTTACCTTGGCCCGGTCATAAATACGTGTGACATTTGTAAGTGTGCTATGGGTCACCTGCTAAATGCCCTCTTTGTCTCCTGTGAATTCCACGTGAACAAAATGCTGAATTATGTAACCATCATTGCCCTTTAATTGACACTCTCGGTTGGTATTTTTAGAGACAGTGGAAGCTGCTGAATGTGATTCTGCGTCACCAGTGGCGGTCACACAGAACATGGCGTTTGATTGTGGCTTGTCAGAGTGTTTCTGTCCTGCCTCTGTTCATGTGAATTCCACTTGTCTTGACGTGTGTTTGCGTTCCCCAGGATGTCCATACACACGTTACATCGTTATCAGTCACTCTGTGTGGCTGTCTGTTGTTATATTTAAAGATTGCTCTGGCCATTATCTGCACTATGCAGCCAACAGCTTGTTATTAAAAAAAATACATGCATGGGTTTGGATGATAATGAAGCCACAACGCTGGTAATTACAGGGAAACCTGTGACCTCTGTCGCTTTGCATTTCTTTTGTGAAGATTGCCGCAGGAAATGGGCATCGTTCCAGTGGATAAACTTTGTTGTGTATGGAGAATGCAATTTCATGGTTTTTCTGAAGGAAGGCAGGAAGATTATTCAGATGTTTGAATACCACTGGGTTTTTGGCGACGGGTGGACTTGGGGTCATGCCATTTCATGACAGGGTAAAATAATTTGGCTGGGTTCCTGTCCATAATGGCTATGAGTCAATGCAGAGAACATCTTGATCTTTTATCACTTGTCAGTGAACAGGATGTGGTAGAATGCCCATAAAAGTGACATTTTGTGGGTCCAACATTTTACCACTTAAATTATGGAGAGCTTTCTTGTATTCGTTCCCAATCATGATGGTGTTCTATGGCTGGTCAACTGTTCTACATTTTTATTAGTGGCAGCCAAGTCACCTTCCTGTGTTTGAATCTGTCCCTGTCTCCTACATAATATTTCATGCTACCAAGAAACTACAAAACTCAGTATTTCATACATGTCTACATTCGCTTTCGAGTTGGGTATGCGTTACGGTTCAGAAGGGTATTTTTATCCACGTTATTTTTTGCTCCTGCTGTGTGTAAGTAGCAAATTGTTGTAGTCTGCAGCAGGAAGACACCTTTGTCGCACAGACACACACACACAGATGAAGTCTGATTTGAGACATCCACCTGTCGGAAAAAAGAGGGGGCCTGTTGCAGGCGTTGCGGTGTCAATCTGTGCCAAAATTTCAGTGTCGCGACCTCACAAGAGTTAATTTTCTCCATGCACTGTGGTTTCCTGCCAGTTACCATTGCATAACTGGCAGCACGAGCAAGGCATTGTTGGGGAATGTTTCTTGAAAACGAGTGAGAGGCTTTTCCGGGTAAACAATGAAATTGCGGAAAATATTAACTTGAAAATAATTATTCGCGATATTACTTGGGTCTTTCGGTAAAGTCACGTAGGTGGTCATCAGGAGGGAAGAGCCAACCCTCTTTCCTTCTGATGGCAATCGTTTGTGTTGTGATCGAAACGTCGTAGTTTTTGGTTATTTTCTTTGAATCATCTCCGTGACTTTACCGAAAGACCCAAAGAATATGAATTCCTGCAGTCACGAAAGCTTTAAGTCAATTATTCGTGACTCAACATCCTTTTGAAATCCTGCTACGTCGTCAACTTGGGTTTGCAATCAAAATGTTTATTAAATCCTTATTTTCCTAATTTAAATAAATGTATTCCACAATTTCATAATCGTTTTTTTTCCCTTTGGTAGCGACAGAAAGCAAGCAATCATCCATTTGGTTGAAAACATGTTGTGAAAATAGCATTTTCAAAATGTTAAAGAGTTTAAATATTTGAATAATATATCACTGAATATTGTAATCCATGATGTTACTGATAATATGATGAAGTCATGAAGTGGCAGCATCTCCATGCCGATAAAAATGATGAGGCATAATTCATCCTCTTTACGTGTTCAGCTATTCCACATTCCACATTGTGGTTTTGTGACTATCATTATTTGCTTAAGCCACTGCTATTGACTTCCCAGTACTCATGTTTTCTGCCTTAGAGAGATGATGATCTGAGTGGACGCTGAGTGGGATGTGAACATTTAATACACCAGCTGAGAAAAGTGCTTCGACTATAGGGGCCAAAAATACATTAGTAACATTACTGTGACATGTGTGACTACGTGCTGAAATTCAACGTACATGTAAACACAATCACTAGCGAAAACACTAACTAGGCAGTGAAACTATTAAATTGAATGTGTCAAATCTAACTTTTTAACCTTGTACAAGTTAAAATGAATACGTTGAAGTGTTTGAACAAGGGGGCTTCTGATGGCTGACGGCACGAAGGAGATTCAAATTTAAAATGCAAACTGTATGGGACGGCTGCATCAGATATTACGACATGAAAGAGTCACGTGTGCATGCCGCTATACGGGAATATAATTGAGGAGATGTTGATTCTCGGTTTCTGAAACTCTCGATATAAAGCAGTGTGTCCCATGGAGTGCAGGTTATCACTGGCAACGATCATTGTGCGTCATGTAATAATGGGCATCAGAATTTAAACCTGGCATTTACATCTCTAAGCAATGCTGTATGCGTGGTTGACGGTGAATTTCAAAAGCAGATTAAAACTTTACTCGAGCAACACAGATACCTGATACCTCTTTGCTGACTAAAGTGTGTGAATTGAGATGCTGCCTATATTCAAAGTTATGCTCTATGGGTATAACGTTTACTGTAGAGAATAACATTTTTACATTTCATTTGAACCAGCAGGGCACAGGCAAAAGATGCAGAGATAATCACCTACGACCAGGGAGATATAGGTTGGCCTTTGCAGACCTATTTCTTTTGTGCAACACCCTTTATAACACAATTTCTTGCTCACAATTTGATATCTAGGATTTTTTTTGCGAGGCTGCATTCGACTATAAATGCCAGAAGTCCTGTTTTGTTAGACTCAGCAAACCTCTTAAATTATAGTTTGGAATGTTTAGTGGATCTAACTGCATTGTGAGGGCAGTTATAATTGCCATCAACTTGTTACAGTCAACTGTATCACGTGGGTAACGTACACTACAATGATAGGTTTGTTTTAGGTGAGATCGCGTAAATTGAAACGTGTCGCTCACCCACCACCACCCGACACAACCAATTAGTAAGGTTTGTCATGTAAACAGAATGTGCCAATTAGCTACTACTTCAGCATACCGGTGTGTTGAAGAGTAAACCCACATCATTTACGATTTGAGTACTGTGACGTTTCGCTGGTGATTACAGCAGCCAGCTTCATCAGGCGATTTGCCAGAATTGTGAAGAAGTCTTCCCGGCTCGGTCTTAACTAGAGCGATGGTGATGTCATCACCGTGAGCCTATCAGGTGCGACGACCAGAGGGGGATTAACGTGGTCATATAAATTAGAGTGGATCGTGTTAATCTGAGAATATGCAGTTAGTCACAGTTAATCGACATACATTATAATTGTTTTCCTGTTGTTTAGTTTGTTGTCCTTAGTTTGTTGTCCTTGTTGGTTGCGAAAGCCTCCGTGTTCAACTGACTCTGGTCTCTTACGCTGGCTTTCTGTCCTCTCTTTTCTGATAGATATTTTTTTATTTTTCTCTCACTATAAAAAGTTCACATTTGCGTGGAAACAAATTCCCACCTGCTCTAACAATTTTTTTTGCAATAGAACACCCGGCAATCAAAATTGCACGCAACTTGACGTCACTGCCCGTGTGGACAACTTTCTGCTACACCCTGCGATGCAGCAAAACATGTTGCATGTTGTGCATGTTCTTACTGTGTTGTGAATACCCTCCATTATTTTTGTGGATTTGTAAGAGCAAGGTCTATAAATGGAACAAAGCAGAAGGCTTGATTTTGCATGACAGCTGCAAGGCGATGGTGCATCTGGAGAGAGCAGGGGCGCCGCGGTGGCGAGATGTTAACGCCCTCGCCTGGTATACAGGAGGACATGAGTTCGAAACTGATCCCTGACACCTGCTGCTGTATATTTAGAGTTTGCGTGTTCCCCGTGGTTGCGTGTTTTTTTGTTGTCCGGGTCCTCTGGTTTTTCCCTCCACATTTAGAAATATGCGTTTAGAGTATTTGGCTGCTTTAAATATCCACATGATAAGCCACTTCGTTGTGTTATCATTTCTGGTCAGGTCGCTTCTGAATAAGGGCTATATAGCTCAGTGGGCCTTACTTGGAAAAAATTAAAAAATATTTTAGTTTTGTAAGTACAATAAGAAGCCTGCTTTTGTAGCGTTTGAATGTTCATCCCACATATGCATGGATATTTTGCATGGCATGCAGTATTCCTTTCAATGTCAAAATGCTCCAAAAGGCGTTCACTAGGCTCACAATACATCCATTCAATCGTGCTTCATAGTTTATTTTGGGTTAGATCGAAGGTCGGCAACCAAAGTAACAAGAGCCGTTTTTTTTCAAATTCGGTAACGGCTGAATATTTCAAGAGTTGCAATGCAACGTGGCGAATAACGGTCACGAAGCAGTTCTTTAAAGACCATCCACCGCCCGATAGGGCCAATCAAATCTTAACGTCACTACCGTGGGACAAATGTATCAATTGCATCCAATGATTTGTTTTTTTCAGCAAACTGGAGGAATGTTGAAGAGCCCAAGCAAAATGTTGACAGTTTCGTGGTACGATGCTTTGCTGGAGATTGCATCCAGCGTCATCACGTGTTCGCGAAAGCTCGGCTCTCTCCGCGCGCATTGTGCATTCATGAATCTATGATTGATGTAAATAATATGCCAATGATATGCTAAATATACGTTTAGGCTAATTTTCTGTAAGTGTACAACAAAATTAAACGTGTATCGGTACAGACGATAAAATAAGACGAAACCAGGCAGGCAAAATACATTTTTAATTAAATGGTGGCAGTTGGTTGAATCACTTTGTGGGAACGGGGTGGGGGTATGATTACTTGCCCACTATTCAACTCACAATTCAAGAGTTACTATCCTGAAATCAATATTGAAGACTCATACTCTTTGGTTATTTCGGTGAAGTCACGTGGGTAGAAAAATAATAGATCACGACATTTCGATCGCAACACAAGCAATCGTCATCAGGTGGGACAACCACAGCAAAAAAAACAACTACTTCAGCATATTCTTAGTTCTTTCGGTAAAGTCACGTTGAAGGGAAACAAAATAATAAAAAATATATAAAACAATAAAAATTCTCACGACGTTTCGACCATAACACAAACGGTTGTCATCAGGTGTGTCGGTTTGCAGGAGCAGTTTTTTTCTTGCTGTGGTTGTCGCCATCAGGTGGGGCAACCACAGCATGAAAAAACTGCTGAAAGAGTTTTTTTTTGCTGTGGTTGTCCCACCTGATGACGATGGCTTGTGTCGCTATCGTAACGTCGTGATCTTATTATTTTTCTATGGATTCCTGCAGTCACGAAAGCTTCAAATCAAGATTGAAGACTCAATTATAAATTTCCCAGCGCATAATTCAGTATCTTTTTTTTTACTTCCACGTTTAAAATATAGGTAATATCAATTTAGACCATTTTTTATATTGCATTATACATTGGTACACAAAGGTTGCTATTTACACCGTACTGAATGTGTATCATTGTAAATTTTTACCTACGTTTAAAAAAAAGTACCTGGAATATTTATATCCATATATTTTTTATGTTTGAAGCTATTTCCCACAGTCGTGAGCCAAGTAGCTCGATGTTATCCTATTGGCTGACAGCGGACAGACGCGTCGTTATTTTTCTGCATTGTTATCGGCTGCCTGTATTGCTTTTCCATGGCATGCAGTAAGCGTGGAGCCTATGGGCCCGTGGCGTGTAATCCCAAAACCAAAATACATCATCACACGTATCACGTAACCACGTTACCTGTGCACTCCATCACCCGATTTAAATGATGGGACATGCCCTCATAAATTACACACAAATGTATAGAAAGTGAGCAGGTTGCATGCACTATTGGAATCACAATACTTATTTATACTGGAGAACTGGGGAAAGCTGAACACAAGTGACATTCTTTGGTTTTGATGGTGCCACACCGTCACGAAAATTGTGTTGTCGCTGAGGCAGGGTTGTTACGTGAAAGGTGAAAAAGTCAAAATTGCAAAAAGCAACGCTTGCTGGCACCATGTTTACAAACATGGCCTTTGTATTGATATTGCAATGAGACAAGTCAACTCTGCACTTTCAAAAATTGGCCCATGCCCTAATGCAATTGAGCGGGATTCGCTGTTTTCTTCTCATGCCAAATCGTGGACGATTGTTAGAAAGTCAGAGCCTTTGAATTTTATCGGCACGAATGCGCACAGTGCATTATGGTTTTTACTTGGTGCGGTTTTACCGAGCCCGAACCATAATGCACTGGCTTCATTTTTAATGAGGCAGAGTGTACATTTCACAGGTAAATTGCCATTTTTCTTGCATAAATATGTTCAATGGTCTCCATTACCAAGGACAGATGTTGCGAATTGTATGAAAACGAAAGAGTGCAGTTTTGTGGTGTGTTTTTTTTTGGTAATTGTCCCTTCCTTTCAGGAAAGTGACACACGCCGATCGGGTGTTCTCTGTGCAGCGGTAATACCGTGGCCAAACGCCAACGTTACGCGGTGCCGTAAATTTAATTTTACCTTTTGGCAGTGCTGCCCCCTATTGGATATTTTGTGTAACTGGGGTCCCTCGCGGGAGATGGGACGAGGCCTCTTGCACGCACTGTGAGGCGGCAGGGTGAACTCGAATTGTGTCGCCCAGACAATTCCAATTGAGGTGCGAAACTAGTGCAGAGCTGTGAGCGTCACTTTACTGCGAGCAAATATATATATAGTCAGGAACTTGATGTGACCCGCCCCGACTGAACATCTGTGAACGAGAGCTTCACGGCTCATCGGATTCCTTGTTCTTACAAAGTCCCACTGTCACACTTGGCGTGATGCCCTTGTGGCCCCTATATTTTTTGACACTTGATGTAAATCTGACGGCTGAATTGACACTGGTGTACAAGCACGGCCTAAACTACTGCACAACTGTTGTTTATAAACACTGCCTTCGAATAAAAATATATATATTTTAATGCTCCTGGAAATTAATGTAAGGCATTATTGTTAATTTTCGATCTCGAAAATCCATTGAAAACATCTCGTTTGAAGGGTGTCCTGGGTGACGTTTTAATCCTGGCAGGCCCAATGACATCTCCAGGTTTCATCACACTCCCTGCTGCACCGCATATCGTCTCAAAACGACATTCGTTCGAGGGGAGGGGGGGGGGGTGGTTGGCACGTCTCTGACGTGCAAAACGTCCCGAATTTGCTTGCCTGGTGGTTGCGAAATACGCGCTAACGGTTCACGACGACTGCTGGCCACGCTGCTTCCCTCCAAGGACGGACGTCGAGCCGAGCGGCGAGGTCCCGGCTCAGTAAAGGCGCGCGCGTGTCCCACCCCCCCACCCCCCCCCCCACCCCCCCACCCCCGTGTGTCTATAGATGGACGAGCTGCGCTCCAAGGAGCGAGCGGCGGGTGAGCTGGAGAGAGAGCTGGGCGCTCAGGTGGAGGCTGCTCGCCGTTTATTGCAGACTCAGCCGCGCGACGGGCGGGCGGCAGACGACGCGGCGCTGTCGCCGGGGACGCCGCCCCAGGCGGCGGCGGGCACGGCGGCGGTGGGCACGGCGGCCAGAGAGGCTGAGGGGTCGGAGGGCGCCCCCAGACGCGCGGGGGTTCGTTTGGCTAGCCCCAGGAAGGAGGCGCAAGCGCAGGCGCAACCGTCGGCCGCCGACGGTGCAGGGGATGCCGGCGAGCACGCGCGAGGCAGCCCCCCTGTAAGACGTCGATCCCGCCCCCCTGTAAGACGTCGATCCCGCTCGCTCGCTCGCTCTCTCGCGTCGTCATCTCCGCACGCGCGCGGGGGGGGAGGGGAAGAGAACGGCGGCAGTGAAATCTTGGCGAGTGTCTCCGCGTCCCGGCGTCCCAACGGGGTCTCCCGGGTCGGCGAGCGGCAGCAGTTTCCATCGCGAAGCCATTTGTCACCATTCCAGCGGGTTCGTGATCCCAGGGCGGTTGTTGTTTTTTTTTCTTTCCCCCCCCCCCCCCCCCCTTCTTCCTCCCGATGTTAATTTGGAAATTCGCCGGGCAGCCAGGTGCACGAGATAAAGGTTACCGTGATGTTAAACCACACGAGGGCTGCACTTGTGCACCGGAAGGAGGTGGCTTCCCGCTCGGGGGACGTGTGATAATACCCCTAGTGTGGCTACCGAGGGTCCAGGTCTCAAATCCAGGCAAAGCCACCTGGGATCAAACCAGGTGATTGTCTTGCTCGTTTGATTGATCTCAGCCCGGCCACTAATGATTTGTTCCCCCCCCCCCCCCCCCCCCCAAAAAAAAAAAAACCTCACATTTAGGATTTCGCATTTTGTCCGAGCTTAGCACCACTGATGTTATTTAATGTTGCACATATATAGATAGCAGTTGACGTGGCGTGAAGCAGTGATTTATAAGGGATGCTTGTTGCCAGAAAGAAACGGTGATAAAATCCTCCAGAACCATCCTTGACACACTTTTTACTTTACTCAATTTGGACTGTACACAAAGCAATCATCACCTCCTCCTGGCAGACTAATGCCCCAGGCATCCCTGGCAAATTAGACTATCCCGGTCTCTTTGAGTTCTCGCCTGGTTAAAACTAAATAAACTTGAATGCTCTGCTCAGCGTAGGAGTTCTGCCCATAATGTCTGTCCAAACTCTGCAAACCCAGTCGATATAAAATCACGTTCCAAAAAGTAGGCATATATGTGTGTACAGTGAGGGAAAAAGTATTTGATCCCCTGCTGATTTTGTACGTTTGCCCACTGACAAAGAAATGATCAGTCTATAATTTTAATGGTAGGTTTATTTGAACAGTGAGAGAGAATAACAACAAAAAAATCCAGAAAAACGCATGTCAAAAATGTTATAAATTGATTGGCATTTTAATGAGGGAAATAAGTATTTGACCCCTCTCAATAATAAAGATTTCTGGCTCCCAGGTGCCTTTTATACAGGTAACGAGCTGAGATTAGGAGCACACTCTTAAAGGGAGTGCTCCTAATCTCAGCTTGTTACCTGTATAAAAGACACTTGTCCACAGAAGCAATCAATCAATCAGATTCCAAACTCTCCACCATGGCCAAGACCAAAGAGCTCTCCAAGGATGTCACGGACAAGATTGTAGACCTACACAAGGCTTGAATGGGCTACAAGACCATTGCCAAGCAGCTTGGTGAGAAGGTGACAACAGTTGGTGCGATTATTCGAAAATGGAAGAAACACAAAAGAACTGTCAATCTCCAACGGCCTGGGGCTCCATGCAAGATCTCACCTCGTGGAGTTAAAATGATCATGAGAACGGTGAGGAATCAGCCCAGAACTACACGGGAGGATCTTGTCAATGATCTCAAGGCAGCTGGGACCATAGTCATCAAGAAAACAATTGGTAACACACTACGCCGTGAAGGACTGAAATCCTGCAGCGCCCGCAAGGTCCCCCTGCTCAAGAAAGCTCATATACATGCCCGTCTGAAGTTTGCCAATGAACATCTGAATGATTCAGAGGACAACTGGGTAAAAGTGTTGTGGTCAGATGAGACCAAAATGGAGCTCTTTGGCATCAACTCAACTCGCCGTGTTTGGAGGAGGAGGAATGCTGCCTATGACCCCAAGAACACCATCCCCACTGTCAAACATGGATGTGGAAACATTATGCTTTGGGGGTGTTTTTCTGATAAGGGGACAGGACAACTTCACCGCATCAAAGGGACGATGGACGGGGCCATGTACCGTCAAATCTTGGGTGAGAACATCCTTCCCTCAGCCAGGGCATTGAAGATGGGTCGTGGATGGGTATTCCAGCATGACAATGACCCAAAACACACAGCCAAGGCAACAAAGGAGTGGCTCAAGAAGAAGCACATTAAGGTCCTGGAGTGGCCTAGCCAGTCTCCAGACCTTAATCCCATAGAAAATCTGTGGAGGGAGCTGAAGGTTCGAGTTGCCAAACGTCAGCCTCGAAACCTTAATGACTTGAAGAATATCTGCAAAGAGGAGTGGGACAAAATCCCTTCTGAGATGTGTGCAAACCTGGTGTCCAACTACAAGAAAGATCTGACCTCTGTGATTGCCAACAAGGGTTTTGCCACCAAGTACTAAGTCATGTTTTGCAGAGGGGTCAAATACTTATTTTCCTCATTAAAATGCAAATCAATTTATAACATTTTTGACATGCGTTTTTCTGGATTTTGTTGTTATTCTGTCTCTCACTGTTCAAATAAACCTACCATTAAAATTATAGACTGATCATTTCTTTGTCAGTGGGCAAACGTACAAAATCAGCAGGGAATCAAATACTTTTTTCCCTCCACTGTACGTTGAACTTCTTTCACATCGCACGTAGCCAACCGTGCTACTAATTGGAGATGCACAGCGCTTGGGAACAACAGACGAGTCGTCAGCAGACAACACTTGTTTTTTACGAATCCAATCAACAAATATAAAACAATCTGTTCACTAACTTGAGCTGAATGAATGCTTATTTTAGGAGTTGGCCACAATTTCGCTTTCAACAAATGAAGCATGCATGCACTTTCGCTTCACTGTTTTCTAACGAAACACTTCCAAATGCAAATGTAGCCATCGTGTGCTCAAATGTAAGACAAGGTAAAGGATGAAAAATAAGAATAAGTTTTACCCTTTCTGGCAATAAAACAGGTGTTAAGATGTTCAAACAACCAAATAAATACCTGATACAAGGCATCGGGTCTGCATTAACCACGCATAATTGTGGCAAAAAAACGTGCAAACAAACATGCTCTGATAATGTATGCATTTGTGTTTGAAGCTGATTGGCCTGCACCAGAGAGATCCTTCTTCATGGCCTTGTCTCACCACCAGTGCTAGACGAGAGAACGGCAAACAGTACAAAGACAATGCAAGTATCATACAGAGCACTTATAGCACGGGTCGAACAGTTATATCTCTGGGACCTCTTTGTCAGTACCCAAAATGATTACAAAATTTAAAGGTGTTACCTTTTCTGGCAAGGGTAAAGGAGTAGCCCTGCAATTATTTTGCCTCCACTGGAGGGAATTCAAGAGAGCCACGTGGAGGCTATTTGATCTATCTGGAAACACAGTTATAATGGGGTCATCTATAACTTAAGTATTCATTCCAATTGTTAGATGTTTTTTTTTTCACAACACGGGGATGTGCATGGGCATGTAATCATATTCGTATTGTACAGAAAATAGCTTTTGAGTCCTAATGGCATGGTTTGGGTTCATTGGTGGCATGAGAACTCACAATGATTGTAATAAAGGTTTTTTGGGGTTAGAGTGCGTATATATAAACGTGTCGTTAAGCCACCACCACCCTACACAGCCAATTAATAAGGTTTGTAATTGTGTCGGGTGGTGGTGGGTTAACGACACATATTTACGCGATCTAACCCTTTATTATGAATATTTGTTTCGAAAGCCTACGTGCTAAACTCACAATGCTCAATTGCCAATTACTTGCATAAGCTCCACTAATTTGTTCGATGATTGGCTGTCAGTGACCGAGCATTGTCACCTTTACCGAATTACTGCACAAATGTTAACCCAGTTCTGGAAGATCTGTGATAACATGAGGCTACTAATGATGGTACAATTATGCTAAAAACGTTCATGCCATCTTGCCACATTTGCAGGAATTGATTGTGAAAAAAAAGAACAATGGCTGTTTAAGGCTTTGCATAAACTATAGATATCTATTAAAATGTGTGCTTTGTCAGCATCGCTCGTGAACATTTGGTTAGATTAAAATTCCGTAATAATTGGCAATTTATTTTCATTCATTCAGAACTGTTCATTTGCACATTTATTTTGTGCTGCAGTAGACAGAGTGCAATGAAACATTGCACCAATTAATGAGTTTCATAGTATGTGTGCATGTATGGTGAAGTTCTTTCACACCGTACGTAGCCAACCATGCTGATCGCAGGTGCGGGAAAGGACAACACACTAAACACAAAAAGCGGCTCTAAAGAAACGCGTTTTAAATCAAGTTTATTTAAAAAAAACATAGCTCCAGGGGATTCATAATATCGGAAGCGACAGCATTCCAGACGGCCGCAGAAGCGCATCTGAAAGCGCTCGATGTAGCGACCGTCTTTATCGTGATACTTTATCGGATTAATAAGCCTTCAAGTAATAATTTATAGCACTTAAATGAGTGTGTGGTGGTGGGGAGCGGTAGTGTAGCGGTTAGCGCGCCGAGCAATTACGAGGGCGACTCAGCCTCAAATGCGTACCTGGTGTGGTGTGTAAACATCACCACTGGGGAGACAAAGGCGGCCGGGCGTCGTGTTGGCCCCCCCCACGTGTGCTGTGCCGGATTTCATAGGTGTTCGCTCACAGCACTTGCCCCAACAGTCTGTTCAGGCTTTTCGGGGGGATCTTTGTCTTTGGTGGTCATCTCTGTTGGCAGCCCTGAGCCAGGGGTGAAAAATTCCACATTCCTATGCTGGAGCCAGTCTATTTACCTCTACAAGTCCCCCCACTGTTGACTTCCCACAGTTCTTTGCACTGAAGCTTAAATAAAAACGGCAACATTTGGCATTCATTCACAACGACTAATCCCACCGTACTTGGCCTTCATTTTAACATATTACAGATATATTTATTAATAGTCGACATAACATACATCGCAACATTTTACAGCGCGAAAATAGGACACCGATATCAATGCTGTGTTTGTCATTCACAGTTGTTGTCAGATGGGGTGAGGATCCGTCGCAAAGTTAAAGCTTCACTTAGCAATACCTCGCCAAGT